GACGAACTCGACTATTCGCCACTCGCCGACCACTTCCCAGAAGAGGACGTTCGTCTGCTAGCTGCGACGGGGGAAAGGATTCGGACGAGCGAACGAGACTCTGAGAAATTCAGGGGGTAGGGAATGAGATGGAAAATGGACGATTCGTTTCATTAGCAAGGGGTTATTGGGGTTATTAAGGGGTGAGTAAAATCGGAAAATGTTCAACTGCCAACTGCCAACTGCCAACTGCCAACTGCCAATTGTTAATGAGTGAAAAGATTTGTAAGATGAAAACAAAATTATAATGAATGCAAAGTACTTTAAATTAAACTACAAGCTGCATGTATTAAGATACGTGAAGAAAATTTGCATTCACTTTTTCAATTAAATTGCCTTCTTAATTTTTCTTTCCTCTCATGCACATTCGTTATTAATCAATAATTCCCGTAATATAAAAAGAAAAAGTATAGTGAATGCAGTTTTTAGTTTCAGAACAATTTTACATTACGAGTCGATATCTCTGCTTTCACGTGACAGACTTATCTCACCCGACCGAATAATTATTAGATAAAGGATAAAGCATAATTCAAAGATGTGAATGAAAGAAAAACAGAGATAAATCGCTGTAAATCTTGAAATTAAAACGAATATTCAACTGGAAGCTTTAAAGGAGCGTTGAATTATACTTGACGTTGCTTCAGATAATTTGAATAAAAACAATAAAGAGCAGCTTAGCTTCATAACATCAAACCGAACATTAGCATGTTCTCGTTAAAAATTCTTATGCTTTTATATTATCCAATTTAAATTCTTACCTCTATCTTTCTTTTCTACTTTCTTTTATAAGGATAGCATTATATGGGTGAGCTCTTAGCTAAACTTTTTGACATTTTAGTCACATAAGTAATTCGATAACAAGATGTATTCCATGTTCCATTGACATAGTCAACATTTTCACTCTAATTTATACTTATTTTTTCATGAAAATAAACAATTGAATAAAATTTAATATTAAATTTACATCTAAATATGAAAAAAAACCTATAAATACAGATAATTATTATATATTTTGTTTTTTTGTTTTTTTTTTTTTTTTTTTTTTTTTTTTTTGTTTTTTTTTAATCTCTGATTAGCAATATATTAACGATTCTTATCATACGGATTAACTAACTATCGATTGATTTTCAAAAAATCAATTAAAATTAAGGAGCCACCATTAGTTATAAAATTAATCACTCTCCTTGAATAATATTATATATTCGTGATAAAATTAATAATTTAATTATAAATTATAAAATTGAATGTGATTTTAATCATTCTAATTAAATGTAAAAATAAGACTTTTATATTTTTAATGTAATATATTCTACTGTTCTTAATGATAAAACTAAGCATGATGAGGCAGATGTTTTTGCTGCAATGGATCGAGCTATTGAAAATATTGAGAGTCCCATCGATTCTTTAGATTACGTGTCAGTAATATCAGATAAAGCTGCTAGTCATTTTAAATACCACTTTGATTTGCACGAATTTGCACGTCTTCGGATTATGCTAAAAAAGAAATTTTCTCTACCACATGATATCGCAAGGATATTGCGAAAATCATAGACGAACTTTTAAAGCTTCGTGCGTTAGTTTTTGCATAGTTTTTTTAATTAAATCGAGCTACACAAAATAATAGATTATATATTGGATTATGAACTAGAAGCGCCTGATTATTTCACCTGATTACAAAATTTGAAGGGTAATTTATTTAAAATTAATAAAGTGTAGAATTAAAGTATAACATTGAAAAACAAATCGCTTATTTAAATTATATTTAACAATTCTTAACAGTTTCAACCCTAGATGATTATTAGATATCCTACATAAATAATTATTAAATATAAAAATTCTAAATAAATAAGAGATTCGCAATCAAGATTTTGTTGAAGGAAGTATTCATATTCAATTTTCATGGTAATAAATTTAAAGATAAATCTATTATAAAAGATAAAATTTAAATAATAAAACAATCCATATTAACTATTAGACTATAAATATAATTAAATGATAATTATTGTTGGTTTAAAACTAATCGTTTCACGCATATTGGAACAAATTGTTTGAAATATTTAACAAATACAATGTTTACTTTGTATTACTCGTTACATAACGACTCCCGTAAATCTGACAATAGTTGTTTAACACCAATACTACTTTGCACGCAATATCGAGACTTCCAAAATTCCTACACCTGTGAATGTTGATTAAACGAGTCGAATCGAATGTCTCTCTAATTCATGAGAAAGACTTTCGAAGGATCATTAAATATCCTCAAGAACTTTCGTCTTCGGTGAAAAAAGAAGCAAAACCTTACTCTCGCTACTAGCGTATCAAGGCAATGAATAACCTCCGGTGCGATTTTTATATTCAGGAGTCATTGTGGAGGGGCTGGAGGAGGCGAGTAAAGGAGTGGCACAGAAGTATACATTTAATTATCGTGACTCGATGGCCACACAGACTGAAGCTCATGTAAAAAATCACGCAATTACGTTGAAGTCACATGGGTCCTTCCCTCCTTCATTGGCCCACGTGCACTTCGCATCGGCTTTTGGCCTTTTCGTTAAGGAAGCCTAAAAGTCAACGGTCGCGCGTTCCGCGAGCTATTTTAAAAGCACCGGTGTAGCGCATAATCAGAAAATTCATATTAGCTAGGGGCCGACATTAGCTTTTATCATACTGCCACATTGCTTCGTGAAATGTAATCAGCGAGTAATCGCTAATTTAAAAAATGAACCTGTTTTGAAATCATGTACACGCAGCTGCAACTACTATCGAGATTAAGTCGATGGAGCCTCTGATCGGCACCTGTCGCTTATGTATTGCAGCTTCGATTATTCTCGCGCAATATATATATATATATATATATATATATATGTGTGTGTGTCTGTTTGTCTCTCTCTCTCTCTCTCTCTCTCTCTGTCTCTCTCTGTGTGTGTGTGTGTGTGTGTGTATGTTTGTATGCGTGTGTTTGCGCGTTTGCGTGCGTGTGTTTGAAAATATGTTTATACATTTCTAGTAGTAACGCGCTGTTAATTAATGACGTTTGTATTGATTATGTAAGTGAGATAATTAACTATAAATGAAAGTTGGTTACCAAAATTTTTATTTAAATATTTATATATGAATCGACTTGATAGTATTCAAAAGGCATATAAATAATTTAAACTCTGTATTAAATATTACTACTTGGTCATACAATTTTAAACCAATATTTATTGGCGAATAAAGACAGAAAAGGTTGTTTATTATTTATACAGTATCTCTTTGACATTTGACAAAAATTTTATTTGGAATCTGTCATGATTTAAATCGATAACAGCTTCGAAAACATTTAAAAAAATCTGTCATTAATAAATTGCCTATCATTGTCATTAATAATTTATTATTGACTATTATTAATAATAGCTATAATTCTAATTAAATAAAATATTTAATATTTTGATTCATAAGTTTCATCATCATATGTTAAATCCTCTTCATATACAATGTTCTCATTTTTTTTTCATTGTAATGAATTTTGATCATTTAACATTACATTCATATAAGTTTTCTAAGAAAAAAGAACGACTAAAGAGAACATAAATATAAGCAAATAATATTAAATTAAATTTTGTTTAAAAATTCATTTCAAATTACTATCATGAGTATTTAATTTTTTTTTAATAATTTTGAACTACGAAAATTCAACGTTTCCAAATTATATTGTACTCTTGTTTCTAATAACGTATTGTCAAATTTCTCTATTATTAATTGAGAATTACATTACCTGTATCTATATATAAATTCCTTGGGGTATTCTGTAAACATTGTCTTTTGAATATTTTTATAAAATTTTATTGCGCCATGTTAAATCTTTTACTGCCTCAATCTTGGTGTAAATTTTTTTAATTTAATTCTCTATTTATTGCATACCCTCCTCTCTCTCTCTCTCTCTCTCTCTCTCTCTCTCTCTCTCTCTCTCTCTCTCTCTCTCTCTCTCTCTCTCTCTCTCTCTCTCTCTCTCTCTCAGAATCCGAAGCCTATATTTTATCATAAGAAAATATCATTGCTAATTTTATAATTTATTAAGAAATTCAAAACTTTTCATTAGACGTTCTATTAATAGAGCAAATTTATTTTAATCAAATTTTTCCATGACAATTGTACATGCTATTACGTTATTAAATTTTAGTAATAAAAAGCAGAAAGTAATAAACGAAATACCCATTACTCATCCATTTTTATGGTTAGAAAACGTAGATAGTCGTATTAATGTATGAGGAAATCCATACAATTAGTTAAGATTAATAGTAGTCAATTTTAATTGCCACTGCTACTTGCATACAGTCCAGATAAAACAAGAAGCGTATAGAATTGGTACTACTTGATTTTAGACACCATAAAGTGTACTCGAGTATTTATAATGTCAATACGAGCAAATATTCGCTAAGATGTATGATAATGATTTGTCACGTGCAGCTGCATTCACGATTTTACGATTTAATTTTCGCTTAAGGGAAATTCGATAATGTCATTTACACATATACACTTTTTAAATGAGTCGAGATACCCACTGTAACGATTTGTTCTAACTGTCGTTGCAAGATTTCTATTAAATAGATCGTGAGCTATATTTTAGACCGCTCTAAGCACTGGTCAGATGACCATTCGCGAACCAACATATTCAAACAATGCATATTCATGAGCTAAATGACGATTAAAAATTGGCCAGCTGACTGTGTATGTAAAGAAAATTTCATGTGTGTCCATTACCTTGAACATTTATCGCTTTCACTTATGTTAATAAAATCACATTGAAGAATTTTACTATACTTAACACTATCATTATTTCGTGAACTTTACGAATATTATTACTAAAATCTAATTGCCATTATATTAACGTTAAATTCCATTTATAAATTCATATTTATATTGTTATAATTACATTAAATATAATTTATATTTACAGTGTTAATAAAAGTATTGCAACTTACTTGAATTACATGCGACGGTCCAAGTCCATCACGACTGCTTTCATTTCATGTCTGTACTTGTACGAAAGTATAATACTAAAATAGATTGACCTGCGTAAGATAATGCAGAGGAGTGGGAATAAGAGGCCAGCAGAGGTAATTGACGAATACAATACGCACATCAGTCGATTCAACACTATCCCTTAATAGATTTTCACTTAGATTTTTACAACGTAAAAAGCGAATTCGTAAAAAGACGTACATAGAGGCAGATTATCCTTATGTTTTTACATATAAAATTGCCCAACAAACAAAAGCCACTTTTACAATATTGACTGTACATGACAATAAACGGACAATTTAAATTTGTTGTCCACCTACGTACATACGTAATACGTACGAACAAGAAATATAAGAATCATAAATAGATAAAAAAAAAAGAAAAAAAGGCGCATATTAATATTAAGAAATTAATATCGATGAATTATGTTAATTTAATTATAAGAAAAAGGATGGAACAGCTGGCTTTGATAAACGAATTTTTTTTTTACAAAACCAGAACACTGTAATTTATTACCTTTAGAAATTTCAGTTTTTATTTTATTTTATATCTATTTGCCCCGTTTTTCTCCCCCTCCCCGTTAATCGATACCTAGATAATTAGGTGAAATGAAAAATTCCTCGTTAATAACCGAAGGGAATGTAAAATTTTCATGCCCTTATACAAGGGCATTCGAAAAAGGGCCGAGATGTGCCCGTAATTATTATAATTGTAAATATATACATTTCTGAACGATATAATTTCCAAAAATCATTGGCGCCAAGATGGAAATACGCGCGACTAGGCCATAAAGAGGACAACTAGGAGCAATCCTGCCAACTCGATAAGAGAACTTGTTTAGCGAGTAACCAAATTCCAGGAATGGTGAGAAAAAAGTTGACGAGACCAGAGATTCCAGTCCTAATGAAAACAAGACTTGTAAGTACTTGAATTGTACTTGTCAAGTACACCCGCAGCTTAGTTATTTATGCAGTTGCAATTGCAAACAGCCGCTAGAGCTTGATATTACGGCCCAGACGATACTTCCGGTGCACATTTATCAATAATTTATGGATAAATTTTTCTTGTATTTTTTTGTATTCAGAGACAGATGTTCTTGTTCAATAAATAGTAAAGCTTTGACAAAATAATGCGAGGATGTACAGTTACCTCTTTTTAATGCAACAACCATATTCCGATGATTTATAGTAATATGTATAGTAGCTTCATGTATGTATGCGCGTGTGCGGATGAAGATAACCGTACATCTTTACATTATTTATTTCCAAATTTAATATAATTCGACAGGAATGAAAACGTATATTTGCCGCTTAAATTGAATTGTACAAACTATGATTATTCATTGTATGTCAAAATTACACATAATATTATACGCGCATTTATCAAAGCTATGATTTTTTTTTTTTTTTTTTTTTTCAATTTCATGTAATATCTAATGTTCATTAAGATAAATTTTTTTTAACAATAGATAGAAAATTAAATTTTATTGTTCGATAGTATTGGCATATTTTTAATCGAAAAGTAAAGGCAGCCTACTTGCATTCATTGAAACGTTAAAGAATAAGAAACGACTTTTATTTTATGCATACCTTGATCTCCCTCCATTTTATTCCAATGAAGAAAAAAAAATCTTTCCGACTGGATGCTTTTGCAACTAAGTATTGTGCTTTATAATAAATACACCCTTGTGTTTGTGTCATATTGTAATTTTGTACAGATAAACAGTTTATTGAAATTAGCCGCCCCTTTACCCTTTTACCCAATCAACCTCGATCCTTCTCTTATATAAATTTTTCTTGATAATTTTTTATTTTCTTTATATTTTTATACGGAAGAATAAATGATTCGACGGTGCTTCATTTGAATATTATTACGAAAACGCTATCGATCAACTACACTTATCAAAATATTAAAAGCCATAATTATTGGTGTTATTTTCTATTAATATTGAAAAGTATCAATTATTTATTTCAATTAATACAATTATTTATAAATTTTCTCGTTTCTTTTAGTAAATATTTTGATACTCCCGATCGCCTGTAAATCGTGAGAAGCCACTGATATAATGACTGCATGATTATTTAGCGAATAAGCACAAGCGCTAAATATCACGAAGTTATATGTTCTTGGATGCGATAATAATCAGTTTGATAGGTCATATTTCATATTTATTAAGCAAAAGTTAGTAAGAGGAGCTTTGGCTTGATTTCACTTGGAAATATTATTAAATTATTTGATTATGTCATAGAATTCAGACAGCGCTCAAAGTGAAAATAAAAATATACCTCATAATATGAAATAAATAATCTCTCATTTAATTTGATACGTTACATCTTCCTATATGATGTTTCGAATTATTTTTCAAAATTCATATGCTTTTCATATCAATTTAACAACTTACATTCGACAATTTTAACAAATACAATGAACAATGGTAACAAACGTAAACTAAAATTATTAAATTGTGAGTGTAGCTAGAGAGGACGTGATTATGTTAAAAAATTATCTTTGATTACATTTTTAACTTAAGAGATACGAGGATCCCTGGTATCTAAATCCTGTTTTGGATTAAATTTCAATATTGTCGTTTTGTAATTGGCTAAAATCGGTAAGGCGATACAATTATCATAGATATTCTAAATTAAATAGAAAACAGTAGTATCGAATGCAACCTCAACTAAATCAGTAATATAATTAAGAAACCTTTTATTATATTTGAGTTGTAATGCTCCATCGTCAATCTCTCCATTTTCTCAATCTCCAAGTATATAAATCACTATTTCCCTATAGTAGATGTAACGTGCTTTATATCCACAATTAATTTCCTCTCCCGAAACACAATGACTGTATTCTTCACCGGCACGCACACTGTAATTCGTCAGTCAATCGTGCAACTATTTTCCTACTCTTCAGTAGGTACCAATATAACGTCAAACCCTCTTCATTGGTTTTATAATGACCGTGATGAATGTTGTGGTGAACTAACGCATCTGTGTTTACATGTCAGATCTGTATTTATCAGTAGTTTATTTGTATCTTGCAATTGAACCGCCAGAATTCAGAAGTAATTATAAAGTCTTTATATCTTTTGCTGGCGAAGCTATGTCCATTCTTCAAGCGAAATAACTAGTGTAACACAAAATTTCATACATACATATATATATATATATATATATATATATACGATAAACAAGTTTTTTTTTTTTTTAAAGAATTTGTATTTCTTATTTGATTATTGAAAAAATAATTTAAAAAAAAAAATTGTATTGTATCCTATTCAATCTCAATTGACAGCAAAATTCGTTTTTTTAATCATTTAATTTAAAATTATTTATGAACGGAAAATTAATGCAAATTGGTAATATTAGTTACCTACTGACATAAACGAGGCTATAAATTTAAATAGAATTTTGAATCCAACGACAATTAGAAACATTAATCGATCAAAACGTTAATAAATTATCGACTTTAACGAGAAAAATTAATAAATTTTGAATTAAATTTTAATTAACGAAAATTTAAACATAAAAGACAATTTTATATATATATATATATATATTGTTTTTGTTTTTATAAATATTTTAAGTATCTAAAATAAGTTAAATAAATAATACGAACTTTTTATTGAAAAAATAATTTGAAGAATTGTAAACAAAAAAATATTTTTTTTTTTTATAATTGCGAAATCACTTTAATGACGCATTTTCAATAGAAAAATCGCCAATCGAAACAAAAACTCTAATTGCTAATAAAAATTACATTTATACGCATATATAAATTATAATAGCCTTAACGGATAAACATGCCGTTCGGCAACATAATTGATACTTTGCATTAAAGTAGAAATCATTTAATACAATTCAACAAACACAGTAATTGAAATTTCAAAATAACGTTGTATCGTGTGTGTGTGTGTGTATATAAAAAAAAAAACTAATTAAAGAGATATTGGCTCGATTGCTTTTACAATAAAATCATCGCTTCATCTTTGAAGATAATAAAATTCTTTGCAATTATTTAGTAATTCAAGGTCTATCGTATATATAATTATTGTAAAAATAGCACACGATAGATCTAATTCATTTATTACCAATCGTAAAAGTTTACTCTATCAAAGTACTCAATATTTTACTCATATTCTTTATTATTATTGTTTTATTATATTACTTTTTCATAACGATAAAATCATTCTCTACATTACTATCCAATTCTTATTTAATTATTTGGTTTCTTTTTTTTTAATTTTGTTCTTTTTAAATGCCGATTCAATATTAAACAATTGATTTTAAAGCAAAATAAAAATGAAAAAGAAAAAAAGAAAAAAGAAAATAACAAGAAGAAGATGACGAAGAAATGCATCATTAAAAGATAGCTATTTATTTTGGAATAATACCAAAGTAAAACCATACACACTTCCATTACCCTGTATATTAAGGAATGGGCACCTTTCTTTAAAATAATTACCCATTTTAGATAAATGTCCCAGGAATCGTCGAAAGTATAACGAAAGCGCTTATTACAGAATTCTAGAAGTATCACTGAAAGAATGCAGCTGCCCACGAGCAAGGCAAAGTGAAAAAAGAAGCGCGCTGAGCGAAATCGCGAGAACAGCCACTTTTACGAATCATTTACGATATCACCCGAAGCGAGAGAGAAGAACGGAGCGAAGGCCCCGTAAAAAAGAATCCCATGATATACGAGTGTTTGCCCACCGCGTCGTTGAGCCGAGTTCCGATCGCGTTGGCGGTGGCGGCAAATATAAAGATGGAACCACGAAGCCCCTCGTCCCACGTAATAACCACCCTCGCTCCCATTGCCTTAAGGACCTGCCTGAACCCACCCCATCCCATCACTCGGCTCACCCGACCCTACCCCGTCCCACCCCCGCTCGCTCTGCCCTGCGCCGTACGCTCCAAGGCGATAGGCAACTCCTCGACTGCCACTCGATTATTATCACGGGGGCCAATAATCACGGCGAGGCGTATATTCGCCAAAGTGCTCCCCCTTCCGGGCGTTGATCTCTCGCTACGGAGCTGGATGAGGGACTCCAGGGAGGCTATGAATTTTGACAATTACTAACTATCCTCCTCATCCTCCGGCCCATCCACCCTTCGCCTCGGCTCATTTTATTTTTTTTGGTAACGCCCGGGGCCCATCCCAGCTGGAAAATACATTTCACGTGCGCACTTTCTTGTGCGCGCGGCGGTCTGAGCTTGCGAGGGAGACTCGAGGGGATGGTTTTTCGAATTTTAAACTGAACTGGAATTGCGGCTGCCCCTCTTACGAGCAGCCATAATAATGGAATTTTTGGCGTACGATACTGATTCGCGTCAGGGACTACTGAAAAATGTAAGAAGGGCCGATCGAAATGAGCATTGTTCAACCTATTCCAAATTTATCATTTCTATTCGATAATTGTAAAATCGCAATGGAAATGGCGATGACGATAATGTGAATAACACGAGCGCAAAGTCGAATGATGCGAGATAGAAATTATCTATCCTTCGGATTAGATAATCTCTTGTTGTCAAGTGAAATTCATTCGGTTATACAGGAGTCTTTCGTATATTGATGGGAAAAAAAAATGTCGATACTTCATGAATTTATTGTGAATAGAAAACTTGGTAGTAAAATATCTATCTACTATTCTAAATTCATTACTTTATTCCATATTAAAAACAATTAATAATATGTACATTCATTTTACACAAATAATTCAAATTCGACGAAATGATCTTTTTATTTAATCCAGTAAAAAAGATACACACATATATATATATATATATATATATATATTTAAGCATATTTTGTGAGAACTCGATAGATAGAAAATTGCGGAATGCAGAATATCGTATGAAAATTTTTTTTATTATTATCATTCTCGAGCAACTGCCACGAATAAATTTGAAAAAGTTGAAAAAAATTCATTGGCTAATAGTAAAGTATGTATGGTATAAAATAGGTTTAATTATTAAATCATTGTAATGTTTATGAATTAAGCAAATAACTTTAATAATTTTCAAAATTCCTTTGAACTAAATTAGAGAATTTACTTAATTTAGAAGAAAAAAAAGAGAAAGAACATTGCAAACTCTCACCTCCACAGCTATCAATTCCACATCTCTCACTTTGTGAATATTCTACAATTCAAATGTTTTTTGACGAATCTGAGCTATAGATCTTTCCAATATGTAAAGCATACAACTGCAGGTGTGATCAATTGTTATATTAATTGATAGAAAGAATATATAATATAGATAATATATAAATAGCATACTTAATATATATTTTAGAAGTTTAATTAAAATTATAAATGATAAAATAACCATAAGAAATAATAGTATATTGGTAAATTTGGAGGCGATCGTAAAAGATTAAAAAATATGAGAGAACAAAAGATTGCATATTGTCATAAAATTCCATGTAGAAGTCATATCGTACACAACATCATCTCTAATAATTTAAAATCGTTTAAATATTCCCAAGTTGAGTATAATAGCTGATTATTCGCAACGTTTTCCAAAATTTGACGAGCATGAAACTCGAAATGTCTCTTTATCTCGCTCATGAATAAGCGACATCCCTGTACCAGACAGGACAGCATAAGCAAAGTCCTGCATAAATATTTCATGCGCTCTTAATTTTTTAAGTACCCGTCCGGTCAATTCCCAAGCGATAAACACAATAATTTTCTAATTCCAAAATTACTGTCGTCGGCGAAAAAAGGATGCGCCTCATTATACTAATCGCGCATTAAGCTTTAACAAAATTGCGAGTGTTAAGTGCGCAGCATAGGATAAAGTCCATGGAGTACGCAGTCGCAATATGCACTTAATTGGCCTACTTTAAGGCAAATTAATAAGCCACGCGCGCAACGCCCCGGCCATTTCACGGCCTTCGTATATGCCATGACTCAGCCAAGCTTTTCTATTGGGAAAAACGAATGAGAGGAGATGGACGTGCGCTCGCGCTCCTTGGACCCCGCCACTTAATGCAAATATTTTCGCTGAAAAATCTATAATGTTCCGGGCGAAAATTACTGGGAATTACCGACCGTAATGACGCTTCTTTTCGGCAACGTATCCTTTCCTCTGTACCGATCGCCTCGGCTTTGCCCACCATAGTTCTGCAACGCTGCCAAAATCCATATCTGCTTTTCCTGTGGGCTCCGTCACGCGACGCAATAATAACAACAAACTGACACTGCGATTTTTGCTCAACTCTGGTGCGATATAAGCGTTTCGACTCTTTGTTTTATGGACCACGCCGTGACGTATTCGACAGTAATTTTATCCTTTTACTTTGGGACCACTGCCGGTTTTATTATACATGGTACAACACCGCTAAAATATAATGACAAAAGATTTTGGTGCTTCGAGTAGAGGGAAAAGAAAGTGAAATGAGAAACAATTGTTAATTGGTTTACTTGTATTTATCAGTATCGTTGATTGAACAGCAAATATTCTGAAACGTCTAAAACGAAATAAATTGCATAACTATATATATATATATATATATATATACTCTAGAAGTATCATTTATTATGAAACTATAAAATCTTTTTAATTAAATTCAATAATTGAAGATGATGTTTGCTAATTTTATAATTATTTAAACTTTGTATTTTATATGTTAATGAGCAATCATATAGCTTTATATATTGTTTTAAAAAATTTACAAAATGTTATCTAATGAAAAGTGATTAAAATTAAAATCTCAGCTTTTCCCCTATTTTTCTTTTTTTTTATTTTTCTTTCTTTTTTAAATACAAATATTTTGAACAAATAATAAATAACAACTCAGATAAAAAACTATTTAAATAAAAATTTTCACATGATATGTTTGTAGTAAAGAATTCATTACATGTCACTTAAATGACTAATGACACGATGATGCGACTACTGCTACTTCTATGCAAAAAGAACTTTCCGTTTTCTTTTCCAGGAAAATCAATTCAATTTCATAAATGAAAACTATAGACACATAATAATAGAAATATGTTAAAATTCGCAACTCAATTTTATCAAAAGTACTATTCTTATTAGAAATCATTTGAAAATTAATTTTTAATTAGTTTTTTTATTTTATTAATTCATTTTATTTTTATTTTTATTAATTCATAAATATATTTCTAAATTCATATTAATTCCAAATGCATTTGGTATTTACGAAATCCTTTAGTTACGAATAATAAAACCAGGAATTTAGCAATTATTAACAAGGAAATAAATACTATGTCTCAATAAAAAGAATAATTTAATTATAAGGATTACTATTTAATTTATTTTAAATATGTATGAATTCTTAAATAAATATAAAATTCAATATAATAATCTAAAATTAATTTAATTTAAAATACACATGTTTTCAGTCGATTTAAACATTTCAAAAGTTAATATTAGAATAAAGTAACATTTTGTATCGTAAATCGCATTGTAAATGCTATTTTTTCTCTTACATATGCATATACAATATGTATATCGATGTAATACTGATTACAAATATATTAATATTTTGAAAAATATACCTTATATAAATAATAAACACAAAATATAACTTATAAACACAAAATAATAACATAATATATTCCATGAAATAGATTTTACATTTGCCGTTACTCCAATATATTATTCATTCGACCATTTATTTATAGTGGAATTAGAATTTCTTTACTTGTCAACGAGTAAAAATAATGAGGTAATTCTGTATTATGTATTTTTTACATAATCATTAAATAAAATCAATGAAATGTATATAAAATATTCTTCTAAAGGCAATAAAGTTTGAAAGCATAAGAATAAGAAAGAAATAAGAAAATTAGTTATAATTTTATGATAAGTTTATTAAACAATTTTTCCTGAAATACATTAATTTTGTCTCTCGTAGCAATGATACTTTTAGAAAAAATATTCATTCGGATTTAAAAAAAAACATTTTTTTTAAGTAATAAATGCGTTTATCCCTTCCTCAGATATTTGCAGTCAATCAAACACATTTTTTTTGCTATAGATCCAAGAACTGAAATTTCAGAAGATTTATATTTTTTATTTATTCAAGAGTAATATTAAAAATTATTAGATCTATATTCTGATGAATTTAAATATTAAAAAAAAAATTAAAAAAAAAAAATATATATATATATGCATATTTTTTATCATAATTTTACATAAAAAGCAACTGATAAATATACGTCAGGTTGTGAAGATTTTTTTATCAAACTGATAATGTATAAATATTTTAAAACAAACTGTTTTATAAACTTTTTAACATACAAATTAAGCAGCGAAATATGCAAAATTAAGAAATATTCTTCAGATAGTTTAGTTGTAAAAATATTAATATTACGTCTTTTTGTTTTTTTTTTGTATTGACATTTCATAATAAACAAATGTATTAACTACTTTCGAAGTTATTGTTGCTAAATTCTATATTATTAATACATTATACATTATACATTATACATTATACATAATATTATACATTAACATTATACATTTTCAGCATTTTTTCACATTGAGTAAAAATTCAAATATCGTATATATATACATATGATATAGAATACGATAAAATTGCAATATAAATGTTAATAAATATATTAAAAAAATATAATTTTACGTTTGCATTATAATTATTATTGTAAAAACAACGAAAATGATCGACTCATAGTAGCTCTTATTTATAATTTAAAGACGAAGGATAATAATTAAAAAAAATATTTTCTATAAAATAATCAGAGTAATGTTTAAAAAGAAATATGCATAAAATATAGAATAATATAACAATAAAGAACTCATAATATTTCGTAATAGCGTATAAAAATAGTTATTACGTATTAAATAGTTTCTATAAATGGATAAAATTTTTAAATGCATAAGAGCATCGTGTTTTCAAATTAATTGAAACGAATACATACAAATATAAAATTTCTTCACAATATAATATGAAATATTATCATTCTATATTGTAAAAAAAACTATTTATCATTATTTTTAGCTTACGTCCACATTTTACATCGCACCATGAAAATTTATTTATAGCGTTATCACCTGCACAATTTAAAATACATAAAAATTATAATCACTGACTCGATTAAATTAACTTAATACATACCATTCATGATTAATATTGACAAGATAATAAAGCTGATATAGATGATGAAGACTTTCATTATAATTATAACTGCCGTTTGTCCCGAAAGCCAAAAATAATGAAAATATTATAAATGTTTTGAATTTTTTATTTTAACAACGAATTTATATGACGAACTTATATAACAAAATATATTACTGATTGATGCTCGTGAAGAAACGACGATTATTTATTACTGAACATTATTATAATTAATTCCGCTTTTTCGATTCTATTTTTTTTTTCATATTTTTATTTATTTATTTTTATTATTTTTTTTTTTTTAACATACCTACTAAAATTAAATTTAAAATTACCAATTAAGTCTTCAAAAAGCATAAAAATTGTTGTTAAAAGTAATATTATAACATTCAACATCAGTAATATTATCATTCATTATAACTGCAGTATATTATATTAAGACTATTGTATTAAACTATTATAACTTGTTGAATTAAATATATTAAAATAACATTATAATTAAGTGAATTAATAAATCTATTAATCAATCATTAATCATTTTAGTAATTTTACATAAATGTATATTTAAATATTCAAAATGTCGTCTCAATATAAAAATATATAGAGCGTAGAAAAAAGTTATAATTATAATGACATTGCTAATTCTCTATTATATTCTATATTTTATATTAATATCAATCTTATAAATTCTTCTATATGGAAAGCAAATTTCTGACCACATAATATGTATTCCCATATATTCATAATATATATTCCCACATGATGATGAATTAATTGTCTATTATTTTTTTATTTTTTATTTTTTTTTTTTTGATGATAATTAATACATTGTAGCATTGATATTTTAATACATTGTGGCAATGATATATTAATGTCGGAAAAACAAACATATTAGTAAGTAAGAAATACTGATAGCTGTTACATAAAAATTATAACATGATTATAAGAAGTCTCTCTAATTAAACACGATACTCCATTGATTGCGTAAAATATACATTAAATATTTAGTCATTAGATGCATATATCGCACATTTATCACAAAAGAAAATTATGCTTGCACAATCTTGCATTTCATCGCTGGTGATAAATGGAAATACGTTAATTGCACGTTATCAATTTTTTCATAGATTTTCAACAGTTTTTAGAAAATGCATAGTAATAAATATAAATATAAAAAGAGCAACAAAAAGACACCAAAGGACTGTTTAATAACTGACTAATTTATAATGATTTATAAGACAATACGATAAATAGTTCGATTATATATTATATATAATATAATGCATAATAGATCAAATATACCAAATTGTGATTTTAGATAATTCGTATTCATTTATTAGGCAAAATATCAATCATTTTGTCATAATAATAATATGTTATAATAATTGTTATAATCATCGGAAAAGAGTACTTTTATATAAAGTAAAATTTCTTTAGATAATTCAAAAATTAATAATTTGCTACAATACTTTGCCATGTCATTGAAATGTTATACTAAAAAACATGAATTTGATACAAAAAAATTTAATTAATATTGATAATAATAGGCTACAAAAATTGTTATAAAAATGTAAATAACATTTTATTGAAAATCGTATAGTGAAAATCTGAATGCCTATTTGCGTAATTATGATTGCTAAATTGAAACCTCAACATTTTGAATTTCCTGTATTTTAGTTTGTATAACTGTAACGCACGTTTATAAAAAAATTATTATATTAAACGTTTTTCGAATGTGTTTCATCGTACTAGAATACAAGTGACAGTATTATCAGAACACCGAAGCACATGTGATAAAAGTACATGATAATTGTCTCAATTATCTACATATAATTAGCTACGACGAATACATATAAATCCATGAATATATAAAGTAATATGTGTTTTTATTCTTGTAATTTATTAATCAACCTTCTTCTCAACTTAATCTCAAGGATTGTAAGATGATTGATAACTGTCGAAGGTATTGATAAAAAGTAAAAGCAAAACCGTCACAATTAAAGTACAAATAAAAATAAGCATAGAAAGAGTAATTTTTTTGACAAATTTTTAATTTTTATTATTATTCTTTTGCGATTTCCATTATTGTCTCTCTCGTTACTTTTCACGTCGATGTTTTCGTCGCCCAAACATTTTATTTATAAAAATGGCAGACATTCATCCTCCCATCGACATACAACGTACGTGGCACATTGCCCTTTTTGGGCCTTTAAATTCTGTAACAGAATTAATAGTTTAAAAATCATATAAATAAGAAATATTACACGATCAATCGTACAATGTAACTCTGCAATAATTAATTAATAAGAGGATATTCTTTTATGTCAATATTAAATATAGATAAAATGTTAATTTATACCGATGTTTTTATTAAATTTTCATCATTATTCATTATCTCTTATATTAGCATTAATTGTAAAAAGAACTTAATAAACTATTTCAATATAAAGATTATTGTTAGTAATTATTCAATGTTATAAAAAAAAAAAAAAATGTATTGAACCGTATTGATTATTCGTAAAGAAAATATATTATAAATGTATAATTTACTTTTACAGCGTCTTGCACATATTTCTGCTAAGCTTTGACCTAGAAAATAAATTAATAAATAAATTGCAAATCTAATATATTAACATCTTAATGAAAGTATATGTTTTAATTACAGAATACTGCGTTAACAAAATAGCAGAAAAGTAATATTATCAATTTCATATTCACTTCTATTTCTTTCTTATTTGAAAATAAAAGGAAGAACTAGAACGTATATTATTAACAGCTTTGAACAAGTGTGATTTAAATATTAAAACTGTAATATAATTGTATTGAAAATATATAATTTAATATCTTCGTGTCGTGTTTTGCGAAACTTAATTAATTTTTAATTTTTATTTTATCCTAATATTTTATTGTGTATTAAGTATAACTATTGGTTAAATAAGAATAACAACAGATTACATATATAATTAATATTTTAAATGAATTAATTAATGCATTATAAAATAATACCATTTTTATTAATGTAAAATACAAAGTCAATAATTATGATCAAAATAAGATTTTGTTGCAACGACTGTTTTTTAATCGATTAATACGTGATGTCACGTTTCAACATAGTAATATTCATAATTCAAATCTACAACAATTATAGTCTCTCGTACATTCACGTTGGTTTTCTAATTATTCCTTATATCAATATGAATAAAATATCATTAATTTCGTTATAATTTGTATCTATAAAATAGTATCCAAACAAGTATCTCATAAACACATATGTTTTTAAAATTTGTTCCGAAACATATTCGTAAGTAGTATAAAGTAAAATAAATCATGTATGAAATAATCAAATACGTAACTTCTAAATATAAAATAATATTAAAATTAAAAGACTATTATGGTAATCGATTAGTTATTACTCGTAAAACATGTAAGGAAGAAAAAATTATATCGAATATAGTTTACAAACGACAATTAAATTGGAAAAATTCGCTCGATATTAATCTTCAATTATTCATAGGAGTATTTCGAATTTCAACATATCAGAACGAAATTACGTAATACCTTTTATATATTAATCGATAAAAAATACATTAGAAAAATATAATTCACAATATTGTAATGGAATAATGATATTGAAGATATGTCATTAAAATGCATTAGTGGCTTTTGTAATTTACATCTGAAAAAGTATTGTCAAATTTGATGAAGTTTGAAAAAAAAGTCAGAAAAATTTTAGAAATAAATTCATCTCAACAACTAACTATTGGTGAATGTTATTTTACTTCCTCACATATCGCATGTTTAAAATCGTGAAAATATACTTTGCACTTACTACCACAGACACGGGATACGCTAAATTTTCGTAATCTTTAAATATATTCCTCCAACTGGTGTTCCGGCAATAATCGATCGAGGTTCCACCTCGTATGACTTAAATGTTTTTTCGCAAATACTTAGCTTGAATTTTTTAATTAATGTTATGATCCCAATTTTCGTCTGATAATTTGCAAATCGTCCGCCTAAAATATAAACATATAAAACTAATGGGGGATAAATTTAAATAAGATTAGTTCAATTATTTTTCAATTTCAATAGTTGCCTATGCAATTATGCGGCCCATGACCAAATGGTAAATAGCTCATGGGATGTCTACTTTCAGTGTTTTCATCGTTAAATCTTTCCGGATCGAATTTTTCGGGAAGAGGATAAATGTTTGGATCGTGATGAATCGCCCATACGGGCACATAGATCGAAGTATCCTTTGGTATTGTGATATTCGTGTCGTCAAAGGTATAAGAGCTCACTGATTTTCTTTGAAGGAAACCTACCGGCGGATACTTCCTTAGTGACTCTGAAACCCAGTGGTTAACGCGATGAACAATAATTCAATATTTTTTATTAAAATTATGATATTAATTAATTATTGATTGCACAAGATCAATCGACCGAAATAATATAAATTGTGATATTTTTAGTTACCTTTAACAACTTTATCCAAATATGTCATCCTTGTCACAATATCATATGTCAACTTTCCATTATTATTTTCAAGATGTTCTTGGATTTCTTGTCTAAGATTATGTTGAATATCTTCGTTTAACGCTAATTCATAAAATGTATTACTTATCGTAGTTGATGAAGTTTCAAAACCAGCGGCAAAAAATATAAACGCTTGTCCAGTTAAAAATCTATTGGATAATTCTACAATTTGTACAAATGTATTTTACATAATTATATATTGTGCAAATGCAGTACTTGGATTATTATTGGAAATATTATTATGAATATTATTTAGGTTCGGTAATGATTTTCATAGACGAATATTGTCGAAGAGTGTTATAATATGATAATATATATAAAAAAAAAAGAAAAAAGAAACATGAAATTTTTATTTAAAATTGACCAATATAGTCAATAAAAGTAGTAATAAAATCAATTTTTTTTGTTTTGTTTTTAAAGATTTCACTTACCTATATCTCCTATCTTATTCGTGTTGCCCGATTTATATTTCATGTCTCTTAATAAATCGACAAAATCGTTTCTCCTTAAATTATTCCTATTCCTGTACTCCATTGTATTTGTTATAGATTTAATGAAGAAATCGAGCCCCTTTCTATATTGCAAACATTTCAATCGATCATAAATTTGTGGTAAAAAGTTTCGCGTGAAACGTCTGCATGTGCTCGTAAAACTTATTTCAAAAGTCGTTCGCCCGAGCTCACGAAATTTATTGCTGTCGTCGTCAAAAACATTGAACTCCTGGCCAAATGCGCAAACACCTATTATTTCAGTGGTGTACTTTGCCGTTAAATCACGGCATTCTATCGGATCATCATTTTTCGTTACATGCTCTATGTATTTTTCAAAACGAGCAGCGCAATTTTCCATTAAATAGAACATTTCTTTGAGCTTGCTCGAAGTGAAAGTGGGTGATAAAGTATGCCTGAGCGCCTTCCATTCGTCATACTTTAAGTTCAGGAGAGTTTGGTCAAAGGGATCTTTAGGTATATGGATTCCACGGTCGGAAAAGTCGTTGAAATGCTTTATTAGCACGTTCTTTATGAAATCAAGATCTTTGATAATTAAATTAGGAGAGCGCATAGTATAGATGCCTATTAATTTTTCGCCTTCGTACTCCTCGTAATATCTTTTTAACAGCAAGGCTATATTGATTTTTCCAAAAAATACGTCAATAATATTACCGAAAAATATATTTGGTTTTGGTCCGACGACTTTAAGTCTTTTCCAAAAGTTAAAATGTAATTTGAGATAGTGATAAAAGCCAATAATGAATATAACAAAAGCAACGTAAATTTTCCAATTTCCACATTCCATTATTATTACTGAAAATTGTCTAAAAAAAAACAATTTTTACCAAAATTATTTCTCATTGTTGTAACAATGCTAAAATATTAGATAGAATTGTATCTATTATATATAAATATTCATACGTTGTACTGGACTTTTACAATATGCTATTCTATACTATTAATTACTATAATTATTGTATATTATTGCATAATAATAACTAATAAATAAAAGTTTCATCAATTTTTTAGGCAAACGAATTAACGTATTTCTTGTTCAAACAAATAAACTATTTACAAATAAGCTATTTATAAAAATGACTTCTTAATTTAATATTAAATAATACACTTTATGAAATTGCCTATTAGAAAAAGTATGTTAATGAAAAATATTGATTATTTCAGTTATTTTACCAAATTGCATTTCGTTAAACTTGCGTTTAACCAAAAGCGGTTAAAAATTACACGTAATCTGCATACTTTTTTCAACTGTATAAAATAAAAAAATTTTTCCAGTAAATTCATTAAGATGTTAATAAAATATTATGGTATTATTAGAATAATACTTGATTTTAGAAATATTTTATTTTATTATTTTTGTTGTTTGAAAATCTTCTTAGTCTCGAGTCATATTTAAGTCATTCACGTTAAAATTATTTGCTAATAAATTATCAACAGCGGTTTCAAAAAGAATTAGTTGAATAATAAGAGTTGATAATCATAAAAGTATAACTACATAAATAAAATTTCTATATGAATTGTTTAAATAAAAAATTGAGGAAAAACTTAAAAAAGAAATATATTTAATGAGCAAATGCTATGCACTAGAAAATCGGTCGAAGAAAAGTAAGTTGAGAAGAAAGCAAAATTTCTGTATTATTAGTGACATAAAACAATTAATCAGTGCAAACTAAATCTAGGTTGAGTAAATGAAGAATTTAATAATCCGTAACTAATAGACCCGCTTCCGTAGTCGCATTTATCATCTGTGACAATATATATATATATATATATTTAATATTACACTTCGCTTAATATTAAATGTATTAATTAACAATAATAGGAAAGTGATAAAAACGACTTGGTAAAAGAAGAAATGAAATTTAAAAAATTATCTTTAATGTGCATGACGTAGTAAAAGTGGTAATAGCTTTTTTAAAAATTATATTATTCAACTGCGATATTAACGATTGTTACAATAAATTAATAAATATCTTTTTCTTGAATAAATTTGTTCTGAATTAAAAATTAAGCTTGCGTGATACATATACAAAGCCATATAGTAATAACTATTGTGTACGTTTACAATCAAATCATACTTACACATAAACAGTCAATTAAATAGAGAAATAATATAATTCTTCAAACTTATATAATTGTAAAATTCACAAAAATTAGAGTGAAAATATCTCTTTAACCAATGAAAGATGTACGTAGCATACTGATTGAACTAAAACTGGAAAAGTTTGCGATTGGAACAGATTATTTATTAGTTACATCCTTGCGAAAATCTGCAAGTCATGAAAATGGCATGATAATATGATAATATTATACGATATGATAAATAATATGATAATGATTTATATGAGTAACGTTACAATTCAAGATAACAAAACCATTCAAGAGGTGCTTACAGCTTTAAATAACAATATTTATTTCCTTATTAGATGCAAAAATATGTAATTAAATGTAATCTTATTAGATGTAAAAACGATATAATCTACATAAATATATATATATATATTAATATTTTATCAATAGAATAGAAATAAAACAACTTTAACTCAAAACGGTAATCTATAAGTTAATGGTTATACCCGTAAAGAGCGTTTTATAACTGAAAATATATAATGCGAACTAAATTTGTACCCAATCAATTATTACATTTTATTCATACACATAAAATTATTTCATCTTTCTTCAAAATTTCATATTTCATCTTGCTGAATAAAATTAATACTTATTACGACAATTTCATGCATATCACAATGTAATAACGCGACGAATTCATTTTACGACATTTAAACTGCAAAATATATGGAAATTCAGAAAAATAAAATTTAGAATTGACTGTTCAAAACGTAGATGACTTAATTATGAACAATCATAAGTACAATTAATAAAAGATAACATCTCATTTTGTTACATGCAGCAATATCGTATAAATATTTAATAAATAAGTATAGATAACATGTTGAAGGATGTTCATGCGTAAGCCTGTATAACTCGGAGTTTGAAGTACTAATGAAGAATTTGTTCTACTAATAATAGATGCGTACATTTATTGTCGATGACGAATTATCAATTGAATGACTTAACAATTCCGAGATTTGAAGGGCAACAGGGAAATAAATATCTTATGTACCGATTAATGTATGTTTCAACGTGTATATATCAATGTTCATTACACGATGAATCCTATTTATCTGTAAAATAATTCAACAATTATAAGTGAGTAATAAGAAGGGAAGGATTATTATGATTGTATATTATATAACTGCGTAGTAAAGGACCGAGCAGAAGGATCAGATGCATATCCACCAATGAAAAAAGACCTACAGAGAAAATTATTAATAAACAAATGATAATAAAATAGAAAATAGTTTCTAAACAGTTTCAAGATTAAAAATAGAATTTTAATTTCGTAAATTTTACGTTGTACGAATAATGTAACAAACAATGAAAAGACATGAAAGAAATGCTAGAAATGATTGATGATATATCCATAAAAAATACATTATTTATTTTCAACTATTGCAAAATGCGATTTTTTCATTATAAGCATAACTATTCGATTAAATTGGTACATATGTTGATAATGTTTTTTTCTCCTTTATTATTTTATTGAGTGTCAATAAACATTAGATGATAGATTGAATAAAGAAGTTAGAGCTATCAATGCAATACAATAATATATTAAGCGTTGAATAGATTTATAATTTTAAAAATACATATACACGATCTTTATCCTATTATTATATTAATAAGAGATAAATGATGATATCATTATATTATTGTTGTTGTTAAATTGATTTATCGAAAATCGTTAGAAGTATAATTGTACTATTCAAACTTTTAATACTATAGGTACACGATCATATTGTACTTTTTACAAAAAAAAATTTCTACGTAAACTATAGATAATATTAAATTATAACTTTTCTAATATTAAATTTATTCCTTGTTTTGGAAATAAAAATATTTTCCATGGGTCGTTTTCACGTTCCGTATCTACATTTATAATCTTACAATTTTTTACTAATTTTAGTACAACAATTTTGAATACGAATTCAGCAAAGAGACCAGCTGCAAAATGTAAATGTAAAAGGTCAAATATCATTTGCAAGATTTAAATTATCGTAGATATGAATAAAGATAATTGACCTATGCATTGGCGTGATCCATGGCCAAATGGCATATAATGAAATCTACTTTTATTGGATACGAGTCGATCAGGATCAAATCTTTCTGGATTGATATAAATTCTCTCGTCCCTTTGTAGCGCATAGTGCGGTATTATTATTCGTGTGTTTTTCGGAATAGTCACATCAGTTCCATTAAATGTGTATTCTCTATTACATATTCTTATTATATCCCTGAGCGGATATTTTCGTAATGTCTCTGGAGGGCATAAAATATTCTTGAAAACATTCACATTATTCATATATATATATATATATATATATATGAAATGAAAAAGAATTATATTAGTTATTACATTAAATTAGATAGAGTTTATATTAGGATGCTACATAGAAGATCTAAACTCGGATATTAATAATTAAAATGTCTATAGTATTATTATAGATATATAGTAAAATTATGTTATAAAAAGTCTTTAATTTCTACTGAGGGGATTTTTCCAATTTTACTAATTGCAATTCTTAAGACCCGATTTATCAATGGATTTCTATTAATCATCGTGTATACATAAATTTGGAGGTAAATTTAGTAAGATATATTATATAAGCGAAAATCTTGCATAAATCATTGTTACTTAATGCATCTTTAATTACTAAATTCAATTCACAGCTTTGTTTCATTCTAAATTTCATTGACGCAAGACTGCGAAACTGTTTAAATATTAAAATTAAGAATGAATTGTTAACTTTTGTCGGACAATATCGTATTCGATAATATACAATTTATATTCTAATAAACTTTGATTTATATTTATGCGTGTGTGTGTATGTGTGTGTGTGGGGGGGGGGATTCGTGCGCGTGCGTGTGTGCGTTAGATCGAAAGTCTACCGTGACACGTGGTAGTGTTACATCAATAAAAAATCAATTAAACATTCATATTTGGTTAGTATGACAATATAATTGTAATGAAGTTCTATAAAAAATAGTTGAACTCACCTTTATAAATTTTATCTAAGTATTTCATATTTTTAATATTATCCGAATTTAATACTTGACAATCTGATTCATTATAAGCTTTAATTATCTCATCACGCAATTTATTTTGAATATCATTATTATTTGCAATTTCGTACAAAGCGTTGCTTATTGTAATAGCAATACTTTCTGATCCAGCCTTAAAAAATAAATACGTCTGTGATGCCATGAAGCTGTATTTATCGGTTAAATCTGTGAAAATGTTTATCAATTATGTACAAGTAGGCGAGCATCTAATAAATCGTTTAAAACTTAAATATCAATATCATCTTAATACGATTGTAAAACTAGATTTGATCATAAGACTTTCAATTCAATACTATATTATCGTTATTGTTGTTGTTGATGTTATTATTATTATTATTATTATTATTATTATTATTATTATTATTATTATTATTATTATTATTATTATTATCATCATCATCATCATCGTCATTATCGTCGTCATTATATTTTATTAAATTTATTATGATTGCATGGCAATTGTATATAATATTAAATTTTCAAACATATGCTACGAATTATTTTAACAATTAAGTTATGAATTTAATGTAATAGAATAAATATTACAACATTTCAACGTACCTATACTTTTTCTCTCCTGAGTATTATATACATCTATTAATTTCCCAAAATAATCTTTTTCTTTTATTGCATTCCTATATCTATATGTTTCGACATCTTGTACGAGTTTAGTGTAATAAGCTGTTTTCTTTTCATTATTACTAGTCGTAAATTTAATTACACACGTATGAAGAAATTCCAAAATGCTAGTATTAAATGTCGGATATTCTCTAAAATAGTGTTTAAGGAATTTAAAATAATTACTTTTTTTGCTATTAGAATTAAAAATTTTAGCTAAATTACTGAATTCATTCATTTTTAATGAAAACCCGTACTCCCCAATTATTTCAGTGGTCAATTTATTTAAAAGATGACAAATGTCAATTAACTTTGAGTTTTTTATAATTTCATCGATATGTAATAAAAAATCATCTATTATATTGGTAATTTTTTCAGATTTTTCATCTATCTTCGTGTTTAAAAATACTTTGGATAAGCTTTTCTTTAAATGATCGGAATCTGTATTTCTTAAATTAAAAACATGATGATGTAATAATTCCATTGGATTATTTTGAAGTCCGATTCCCCGATCAGGGAAGATCAAACGGTCCTTAGTAAGGACATGTTCTATTAATTTCTCATCAATCAGTATCAGGACTGGTAAAGTATTTCGAAAAATACCAATCATTTTTTCATCCTTAAATCTGTTATAGTGAATTTTATTTAATTCACTCGGATGAGTCTTTCCAATAAAAATTGAAAAGTCATTTCCAAAAATTGGAATCGGCCTTGGTCCTTTAACATTTCTTCGTAACCAGAAGTCATAATGCGTCTTAATAAAAAATGTATATATAAGATATAATAAAAGACTTAATAATATACCAATGAAAATCACGATAATCATTTTTTTTCAAAAGACAAAACTCTGTTTTCTATTTACACTTTTTATAAATATTTGTAAGGTAAGTATTCTTCAACCTAGAAAGATATAAATAAATAAATATTACAATTTATAACTATACACCAATCATTATTATTCTTCCTTTATTTTTATAATATTAAATGTACAATGATTGTTTATGTTCATAGTTATAAATATTTTATTTGCAATACATATTTTATTTGTAGGATATATATATATATATGATATAATACCGCTGATTTCCGTAAAAATGTTTCCCAATATAACACTATAAGATTAAAATAAAAAAAATACTGATATTACCGGAGAATTATTATAATTTTTATTTTGTAATACTTGAAATAGCCAACTAATTGATTGAATGTAATTATCTAAAATTCACTTTTATAATTAAGAATTCTACTTCTTAATAATATAATGATTTTTAATATATTGCGTTAATTACAAATTCAAAATCGTCTCAAACAATAATAAAATTAAACAATAAATTAATGCGTAAATGAAATATTATGTTTGTGTTATTACATCTACATCAGGATTATTGCAATGTAAACGTGATTGAGAAAATTGTAAAATAAAATCTAAGGATAATTTTATCGTAGACATTGTAAAAGTAAATGTGAGAATTTTTTATGTATCTATGGGATTTCAATGAAACTGCATTGTAAAATAGCTGTTAAAAAATATATTTTGCAAAATATTAATCAAATATGCATATGATTGATCCGTAATATCATTAATATTATTTTATATATTTGTCCTAATTTCTGCATAATTAATGGGAATATTTTTTTTAAAGACGCGTTTTTATAGTTTTCTAAGAATTGAATACTAATTAAGTAAACATTCCTTCAACTTTATTTGTCATATATCAGCAATCAGTTATCGTTTCCCGATTTACAGTTCCATACATATATGAATGTTATCATTGCGGGAAATCGAATGTTTTTTTTTCCAAGAAATCCATATTGTACTTTATATCATCGGATATGGCTATTTAAGTACTACGAATGACATAAAAAAAGGACTTAAATTACAGTTCTCTTTTATCATACTTCACCTAATTTACATTTACTTTTTTCTCAAACAATACAATTTTCTTTTTCTTAGTAAACGTAAAGATATGTTAATATTGTTTTTTTTTTTTTTTTTTTTTTTTTTTTTTGTTTTTAGAAAAATCAAACCAAATTTTGTAGCTATTGATTCGTACAATTTTGCTTATGAATTATTCAATAAAGTCAAACAATGTGACGGGGAAGTGAATTTGTAAAGAATTATTTTAAACTTCATTTTCAATAAAATTCTAATTTCACCACTTAATGAAACTACGAAAATTCTATATATCATAAGGTATGAATTTTAATAATGCAAAAATAAAAAAAAGAAACGATGTTTTTATATGATTAATTTTAATTATTTTATTTGAAATTTGTATTAAAAACAAAATAATCTATTTTTATTGAAAATTTTTTCAATACTCCTTTAATTAACAAATGATCGATCCTCGTGACTTTTTACTAATCAAGGATGAATTTCATCGATTTTAAATGAGCCAATATCTCTATGAAAATCTAGTCGGTAATTATTGTGATGTGAAGGAAATTATTAAATACCATTACTCGTAAAATTCTAATAAAATCCATTTTTAATCTTCCGACATATTAATGCCTAAACTTTTTGTTCATTATATTAATTAATACATTAAGTTTCGAAGAATTATTTATAAACAATCTATAAAATTATAAATAATATAAAAAATAATATTGAAATTTCAATTTAAATTACATTTTTGTCAATTTGAAACACATTGTTTTAATTGTTATTTAATCTTCAATTTTAATTTTTCTTCTTGAATATAAATAAAACATTACAATGATTAGCAATTATTTATATATTTAATAAGATAAGGAAGCGTAATACATCTGTATACATATTAATTTCTTTTCATAGTTAATATAATATCAATCATATTCAATTTTCAACCCAATAGTACAATGAAAGAATTTTTTATAATTTAGTTCTTATTCTAAAAAATATCGATAGTTAAATTCATATTTTTTTGCATAAGATAAATCATATTTTACATAAAAATTGCGTAGCCTGAACAATTTATATGTGACTTAAGTAGGAATTTGGACACAATCGATAATAGCCGTCGAAAAACCTAAATCCAAGCATTTTGAAATAAAAACATAGATGTTTTTAATGTTTTAAATTTAATTTGAATAATTGAAGTAATATAACTATATCTGTAGCGTATGTATTAACCAAATGATGTGCGGCATAGAATTTATTGTAACTTCTCTTAAATAAAAATTAAAGTCACTTCAATTTTTTTTGTTTTTGTTTTTTTTTTTTTTTTTTTTTTTTTTTTTGTTTTTAATGTAACACACTAATGCACGTAGAGCAGTATATTGATAAGTACTATAATGTACAATTTCACTTTAAGAAAATAGATATTACACCAAATGCAAATGAATGAACAAATATTTTAATATTACACATTACGTACATACCATTTTTACAAAAATGATATTAAACAATTATTCTGATTCTTTAAATTAATATATCGTTATTCTTCAACATCATTTAATTAAATTTGGTGCGAAACTTCAAGCGCGTTCCGATAATTTTTTAATATATAACTCAACACTTGACCTCTTACAGAGAAATTATTCTTTCGCGTATGCAGTAGATATGAAACTGACTAATATCGGAGGGAACAGTAAGAATAATATTAATTTACGTTATCAGTAGTTACTAAAATCGCCATCAGAGGACCCGATAGTCCTGTCATTAGTAGACATGCGTAAAGAAAGTTTGAACTTATTGGCTCATTTAAATACGCGCTATTTCAATACTCAATCTTATGGGATGTTTACACGAGTATGCAAAAACAACAACAATAAAAAAGCAAAAAAACGTTTGCATGTTTAGAACAAAGATTTTTATAGTAAATAGAAAATTAGAAGGATATAGCTTTTACTTTTGATTTTATCGATATATCACTTCGAATCGGTATCTAAAAACATTTTTTCTTTACTATATACTTTTCTCATGTAAATATATTTATTAATTTCGTACACCCTGGCAGTACACGTGGGGGGGGGGGCGGTAGAGTCAGCCCTTGATCTCGTGGAGATTGCTACCATCTAACTTGAATAATTCCCGAATTGAATTATTCGTCATCGCCACGTCGTTGATTTCTTCTTCCAACATCCCTTCGCTGCCGCTTAACTTGTTAAATACGCACACGAAACTGACGGTGTGTTCATTTCGTGGTGTCCCTGCCAAAAGACACCGAGACTTCCTTGGCGTCCCCAGTAAAAGAGTGCGCCTGATCGTTTGGTGAAGCGGTCAGTTTCAACTGAAATTGTTATTGACAATGTAAACGCGTCCTCGTTAAGACTCTACTGTAATCCGAGTAATTTGGTTGTGTAGTCATCAAGTGTAATTGTTAACTCCTGTATTTTGAATGCGTTAATAGAGGCGAGAACCTCTCGATTAGTTGAGTGCCTTTTTGTCAGCGTGAAACCGCCTGCCGAGCAGAG